GGGACAACAGTTACAATGACGGTAAAGCATGAGCTCAAAAAAGATCCTTACTGCCATCCAGTGGCCAAAATGTGTAACGCCTTACAAATACCAAATTCACTTCAACAGTCTCTTTTCAGCACACGACCGGAAGTTCCTTTTACCATAAAACCTTGTTTTGGTAGGATGTTGACACCAACATGTTTATTATGTTTCAGGTTCTTTACCTAAAACTCTTGGAGAAAAACTTTGGCCTCAATCTCGCCCTCTGCTGGTGGTGGTGAGCAACTATAAATAGGTATGTCACTGACCAGATTAAGAACACAAGATGACTATCTAGGGACACAGAAAGGCTGGAAGAAACTGGGGCAACTGGGAACACGTGGGTCCAGGAGTGAGTCATCCCACATCTGATATTACATTGTAAATGTTGTTTGTACCTCCCTGGAACATATGGTAAGGTTGTAGGTTCCTGGTTAGTGTCATGTTCAGTACCTGACATAAAGGTGCCTGATCAGTGATATGCAAACAGGAAACACAAAACAGGCAGAATGTGTCCCTGCGGTGGAGCAGACCATCTCCCTGCCACTCGTCATTTTGCTGTGTGCTGTGGGTCATCTGTCTGCCTCAGGTGGTTCACAGTGACATTTACCCGAGTGATACTTTTATTCAGCTTGAACTTCCTCTCCCATTTTAAACTGGAACTACACCAGTATAGCCAGACCTCTCCTGGGGTAACAACTGGCACGTCTCTATTGTTAGCCTTTAGCCTCTACGCCCCCTGCTGGCCCCACACGCTTATGTCATGCCACACGCACACTGGGCTACTGGCATAGTGCTCAGTGGATGGTTCTGTAGCCTCAAACCCCCCCAAGATGATGGTTTGGATCCCACCCCTGCTCTTTGTGTGGAGCCTACATTACCCCCCCCCCCCTTACTGATCTGTCTACCTCTGGCTCACCCATCTGTTTATGCACTGAATTACACCACCAGGCCAATAATAATGTCACACACTCTAATATTTCATTGCACCGCTTTTAGCTTTGATTATGGTGCACATTTGTCAATGCATTGTTTCCACATGCTTGTGCAACATCTCGACATTTTTTTCATCCAAACTTGCATTATTTTCTCATTGAGATCTCGTATTGATGATAGGTTGGTTGTACCACTCCGTAAAGTCTTCTCCAGCACATCTCAAAGACTTTCAATGGGGTTAAGGTCAAGACACTATGGTGGCCGGTTAATGAGTGAAAATGAATCCTCATGCTCCCTGAACCACTGTTTCACAATTTCACACTATGAATATTGGCATTATGGAATAAGCTCATGCCATTAGGAAAGAAAAAATCCATTGATGGGATAATCTGGCCGTTCGGTAGATTCAGGTACTGACTTCACTTTATTGCTGCGTAACATTGCTGAGCTCTAATAATGATCCAATCACTGGCAGTACTTTCTGATTTAAATTCAATCAGTGGCTTTCTTTGGCCAGGCAGTGTATGTCATATTTTATCTATCCTGAAGAGCACTTATGCTGCCTAGGTAACTAAATACAAGAATATTTTAAAATCCAGTCTATCAGATATATCCATTTATGTAAATCATTTTTAAAGAAAACTTTTTTGAACAGTTGACTTGAACTCCATTACGTAACTTTAATTTAAACTGCAATACAAATTATTGTTTGCCTTGTTTCACCAGTAGGGGGCACTTTAGAACTGCTTATATTCCCAACACAGGGCATAAAATATCGGTGGTTCTAGACCCTATTTAGGGGGGTGTAGCCCCTCTATTTTTGGTGTCGATCCGCTAGCAGCTTAGCTAATCTCCAGCAGACCTCGGAATGTGTGTGTTGGGGCTGCTGAGCCCTGAATCTCCCTAAACATGCATTTTACTCCCACAATATCGGTATGGGGTCAAGTCCGTAGGTGACTCCCCAGCCTTGGCTGACGGCCTCTCCAGCCGGGAGATCTGGGTGGGACGTCCCCCTCGGCCCCCCCTTTCTCCCCACGGCCGTCTAAGCCTTTGTGTCTTGTGGCTCCTAATGGAGCGGAATGATTTAATTTCCCTTTACAGAGGACCCTGTGCCAAAGGCAGCCCCCCAGAGCCTATTTAGACCTTTTGAGTCCCCCGGATCTGAGGTAACTTGCCCCCCGAGGATGGCTGCAACTGGGGGGTTAGAACTGGCTAGGAGTAGTAATGGGAGCTGGGCATGGGGTTAGTGTGTGTGTGTGTGTGTGTGTGTGTATGTGTGTGTGTGTGTGCATCTCATATTTGGTTACTTATGGCTAAGGTTAGGACTGAGTCAGAGTTAAGGTTGTCATTTTAGGATTAGAGTTTTCCTCATGGAAATGAATAGAGAGTCCATACAAATTAATTACAAACCTGTGTGCATATGCATGTGTGTGCATGTGTGTGTGTGTGTGTGTGTGTGTTTATTGCCTACACACATATCATAGTTAGTGCCTTACAGATGAGAAAGAACCAAGACAAATGAAACAAGAAAAACAGTGATTAAAATAGTTTGGTATTTATAATATTATGCTATATGAAAATTTGCTAATTTGTTTTTGGACCTAAGTAGTCAGTCAATACTTTCCCTTCCCCAAGCTCACCCTGACAAGAGCAGTGAATTTGATTCACCATAGTTCATTGCTCACCCATGCAAAAAAATCACATGGACATGAAGTGTCTAGTCGTGTCCTCCCGTATTTTTGCAAATCTGATTGGCTTCTGCTCCAACAGCTCCATCGTCCAGCCAATACCCTGCAGCTGCCGTGCAGCCCATGCCATGGGCAGCTGCTACTCTGTGCTGCTGATATGTGTGAGTGACGCTGTGGACATATGTCAGTATGAAAGTGAATGTGGAGCCGTTATTCTGTTTGTCAGTGTGCCTGGTGATGACTGTAATGATGTGATTTTTCCATTATACTGTGTAAGTGTGTTTGCTGATGACTGCAATGACGTGATTTTTGTGTTATATGGTGTGCCCGTGTGTCTGGCGGTGACTGCAATGATGTGTCTTCTGTGTTATACTGCGTATCCGTCAGGAAGGTAAGGTGTGTCCAGCTCAGACGTCAGTGGGTCCACGCCTTGTCCAGCAGTGGTGCAGCCTTCTCAGATGCTGGGGACAGGAGTGGCAGTGAGTGGGTACTGCGGTAGCCTGGACAAGGTGAGACAGTGGTGGTGTGACCCCTTGCCCTCCCTAGTTCCGTCGACTTTTTGAAGAGCTAGATGCTGTAATGGGGGGGGGGGCTGGATGCAGGTCATAGGTTCGCCTGCTTAGGGAAAAGTAGCTCCAAGTCGATGATCACACCTCCTTGTGGGAGAGACAATAATGTCCTCTGGGAATGTCCTGCGGCAAATCCGACCAATCAGAGCTGATCCGAGAAAACCTGGACTCAGGTCTCACCAATCACTTCTATCACTTGTGCATCTGGAGATGTTAAACCTGGACAAGAGGTGGGAGGCTGGGCAAGGTGGATGTGAATGTGGGATGTGGGAGCGGCCAGATAAATGTTTGCTCAGTGAGTCGTTGATCGGTGAGAGGAAGAGAGGGTTATTTGGATGGTGGGTTGCTTGCTGTTAAAGACGCTCCCTTAAAGACGCTCCCTTAAAGACGCTCCCTTAAAGCGCTCCCTTAAAGACGCTCCCTTAAAGACGCTCCCTTAAAGACGCTCCCTTAAAGCGCTCCCTTAAAGACGCTCCCTTAAAGACGCTCCCTTAAAGACGCTCCCTTAAAGCGCTCCCTTAAAGACGCTCCCTTAAAGCGCTCCCTTGAGCACTGCGAGGGGAACTTCACACGAACAAGCTGTCATAGCTCAGTCATTTTTTCTAACAGCCAGAACACAAGGAGCTTTTTAAAGTCAACCAGCATCACAAGGAAGTCATACTGCATGGTAATTCTGCATCATTCTAGGTGTGTCACCCATCCGTACATTAGGAATACTACCATTCTAAGGAAGTCTATTTAAGAATGATCCCAGTTAGCCACCAATCCCAGTTCGGAGAAGCAGATCCCGTTATCATGGGCTTCTCAAAATGGTCGCAGAGGCTCGGGGGTGGGAAAGCTCGAGGACGCCTCCTGCCAGCCACCTGTGTTTTTCTTCCAGAACGTCAACGTTCCACGGCCACAGTTACCATGGCATCAGAAATAATAAGGAACCAGCATCAGCGCGAGGTTCCCTGTCTGCAGGCACATCACGGAGTGGAGGGTAACAGCCGGCAGGCTGACGGTGTGGGTGAGCAGACATGTCAGCGACGGGCAAATGAATAGCAGTGAATAGTGACTGTGCACATGTGACACGCCGAAGAGGCAGTGCGAGGGGGGGGGATAGGAGGAGACATGATGCAAACCTTCCTGGCCATTCGCAGCATCTAATACATATGATGCCTGACAATTGTGAATCCTGCAAGTATGCCTTTCGTTAATGGTACCTGATTATTGGGAGGGGGGGGGTGGCCTAGAAAGCCGCCATCCTCGCGAATGTAGACATTTTCATCGTTTTTCACACCCCTTTTTCCCTTGCAGCTCTGAGAATACGGAACCGTGTAAACGGAACCGTGTAAGTCATAATCCGCGCATGTTAACTCCATATTGCTGAATGTAAGTTCAGTGAAAAGCAATTTAGCTTCTGTATGTGATGTAGCCCCAGGGTGTGGTTTCTTCTTTCTGGGGTCCCACAATCAAGAAATCAGTTCAGGCGCTCCAGCCTCCCCTAGTGTAGTGCCTGTTTGTGGCCAATAGGGGGCCCCACAACCTCTGTTGGTAAACACCGCCACTGTGCCTCCCCTTCCCCCAAAATAAACCATGGCCACGCCCACGCAAAATTTATGAACTTTACCACTGATGCCAGGAAGTGAGTGAGCAGCGTGTTTGTGTATCTGCCCAGACTACAGGGTAGGAAATGAGTGGACGTGTTCCCCCAGGGGTGAGGTAAGGGGCACTGAACCTATGCACTGCTGGCAGCTGCCAAAACCCAGGAAGAGCAGCAAAGGACGAGTCAGGGAAGCTGATCTTCAGTGTTAAAAAGGTTTATTCAACAACTGTCCAAACGTTTTTTTCTGACGTAGCCTGTATTCCCAAAAAAAGTACAAAAAAAAACTGCAAATACATCAAAGGATTAGAAACACGTCAATGAAAAAAACCACATCATGTTCTCTTATACCAATTCACATTGTTTTCCATATATTTATACGTACTCAACAAATTAGTCAAACATTAAAACCTTGCAGATTTAAAACTTTTGTCTTTCTAAGTTTTTTGCTTTGTAAATCTTTTTTTTTTTATATCTGTACAAAAAATACCAACGCATGCTGTAATGCAGTAGGGTAAGGGCTGGGTGGGGAGGGGGAAATGACACAGGGAGCACAGGATGTGGGGGAAGGCGGGCACATGGACTGCCTGTTCTTGACAGGGTGAGATGGGGGAATTAGGATGAGCATGCCACCTTGTGGTGGGGCAGTGGCACTACATCATGTTGTTCTGCAGCGAGTTCACGTCGGACGAGTTCTCCTCAGCAGCCACCTTGTTGTTCTCATGTTTGGGGGTGAGCGAGTTCTGGATGTTGAGGGGCTCATCCTCCTTAGGCGGGGGGGCTTTCACGGGGTCCTCCAGTTTATTCTGGGCATTAGGATCATCCTGTGGGACGACACCCCCCCCCAATTAGCCCTGCTTGCATACCTTCCACAGTCACATCAAGGTTGCCGCAACATAATAATCTATATCTCCTATAGGCTTTGTTCAGAAATGTAGCCAATATTTTGAGTTTATTCTTTTTAAAAAAATATCAGAAAAAAACTGTAAAAAGTCATATACTAAATACAATTTTCTTGTTTTATTGATTGACTGATTTAGTAGAAGTAGTGTGACCTCTGATTTGTTTACAGACACTTACGGAAGGTACAACATGTGTGGAAAGTTAAACTGTGAGATGCTACCCACAGCCCCACCCACCCAATAATGCCCCACCCACAATCCCCAAAATACACATGCAGTCATGCTCTCACATGCAGGAAACCCGCTTGAAACCCCCTCTGTCTCCCCATGCAGCCCCATCCCGGAAATCTGCCCCTGACTCGTGCCTGAAATTACCTTCATACCCAGATAAGAGACGTGTGTAATGATTCAGTACCCAGAGTGACCACAAGAGTGATATCAGAATGCTGCAGATTAATAGCGCTCCCAGTATGGCATAAAAGCCCTTACAAAAACAAAAGCATACAAAAGCCACTCAGAGAAATGACAGTTTCAGTATGTGAGGCTGGTCCTTAGCATACAACTCAGGTTTGTTTA